TTCTTCAGATTGCGTTTTCCATTTCGGTTCTCCGAAGAAAGATGGACCTCAAAGTATGTGGTGACGATAGAAGCATGATTGGATAAATAAGGATAGTTAATGTTAAAAAAAAAAAGATAATATGATACTTAAGTTGATTTTTCGTTTTGCATTATCCGCCATCCCATTTTTTCAATTTTTCAAAAAAATTTTTTTTTTTTTTTTAGATCCCAATTATGCCAATTGTTCTATTTTTGACATCTATTTTTTCCCGCGGTATCACCTGATGGAGACCTTAATTTCCTGTAATTGTCTGATATGACTGACAGGAAAATATGGCTGCCGGCCCGATTTTTTGATTCCTTGTTGTGCAAATATAATCTTAAATATGATCATTATTCTATTTGCAGTAAATTGAATTTAAAAAAAAAAAAAAAAAATCCGTTCGTCCGTCCCTAATTTTGAAACCCATGTTATGCAAAACGAAAAATCAACTTTGTGTGGCCTAAGGTAATAGAGTTTCGCATGATTTCATGATCACGTGTGGCTTCGGGATCGAAGTCGGATGGAAAGAAGCATCTGAATGGTATGTGAAGCATGCTGAAAATGATAACGAAACTAGCCGATTTGACCCAGGTGGATCGTAACTGGAAGTGATGAAGAAAAGGTGTTAGAATGGAACCTGAAAACTGCTGATTAATCTGAACTTTGGAAAGGTAGACTTTCCTTGACGAAAAATATGGAAAAGCCTACGAAAATTAGAAGAGGGCCATCGAATTTTTGAGGCAATTCAAGAGTAAAATGTGCAAAAGCAAACCGAACGAAATCATGCCCGAAAGAGTCCTGACGTTTGGTGCCGCCCCCAGCGGAGCTGTGCAAAAGTTTATGAAAATGGACGCGAAACAAAGGAAGAAACCCTCGAACATATACGTCATGAGCAAGATCCGAAAATGCTCTCACAACGGATATAAAAAGGAGTGGGACAGAACTATAGTTTTCGATCCTGGTCGCCTAGCCGCTCTATTTATTCCGAGAGAAACTATCGACCCATGTTGATATTCCTAATAAGGATCTCCAACTTAAAGATAAGTCTCATGGAACTCGACTTTAAGTAGGATAAATGTGAGTCCGGAAACACGTGGTGGGCGCAGCGTCGAATTAACGTAATTAGGTTTTCCAGTGATAAAACGTAGAAAGTGGAAAAGATAGAAATAAGGAAATAAATGATAAATACGATATCAGTAATATATATATATTATAAGTAATATTATAAATAGATGAAAAAATATATCACGAATAAGACTTTTAACAAGTCGTAATATAGCATAAGTATATAATAAAGGCCTCTCGCTCTTGAGGGAGCATATCCTTCATGATTCACAAAAATTCGTTCCCTAATAAGTAAAATACTTAACCCTGAATCTACTGCTTAAGTGGCATAAGCAGTACGATCGTTTGCTTCATCGTACGTTGTAATTTTAAATTAAAATTCTTTTTCTACTTGTTCTTCCTTCTATATATCCGGGTAATAAAAAATAAAAAAAATAAAAAAAAAATAAAAAAAATAAGTTAACGATATGTTATAGCAAGGAAATCTAATTCAATAACTGGGTGGATCTTTTAGTTAGAAAACTAAAAACAGTCGAAGCAGAAACGCGGATACAAGACAGAAATCCTGTGAATAAGTTTGTTCAATATATTGAGTCTACCAAGAATCATCAGCCATTAGGAAGTCTATTCAATATATCTAGAGAAATGATCCCGGGATGCCTGGTTCAATATACCATTTAAGATATACTGAGGCAACTTTTCGATATATTGAAAAAAACAACCAGGAAGAATTAACTAGCAGTAGCCTGGTCCAATATATCTACCCCAAACCCCCCTGAAATTGCTTGAACCAACAGAATCCACCCGAAAGCCTCCCGTATTATCGACTTGTATGGGAAACACAACTGTTTCTCCTACTACAGTACCATCAAAACAATAGATCCCTACAAGAATCTCTACTTGCCTTGAAAATAAGGAAATTCTTGTTAATTCAAATCGCTCCATGGTCGGAATCGGTTTAACGGTGAAAATTGGTTGGTATTTAGGCTAGGTCTTGCACTAAACAAGGGAATCAGTAGGGTGAGACAAATAGTGAATGTTGGAGTCAATGAAAAAAAAAAAACTGAACGTGTGAGAAGAGTTAAGAACAATACTTGCCTTTAAAATAAAATAGGGAATCGGAAAAAACGAAATCGTAAAAACTTCTTGTTGGTTTTCTAAACTCTGCGCGAGAACTAAATAAAAAAGCTTAAAAATTTTTATTAATAAGTTCAGATTAGAAATAAAAAATTTTTGAAAACGGAACTTTTGAAAAAAGGTTTACATACAGTAGGTTCAGGAAGTTGTGGGTTCGTGATTGTTCGTTTTTCATGGCTGATTTCATACTGAAGTTGCCGGTAGATGTCAGTATGAGTGGTAAAGGACGAGCGAATAGTTTCGTGAGTGGTAGTTTCGTGAGTATAAAAATTCTTAAAAAAAATTTCTGTATTTAATGAAATAGGTGAATATGGCACGAAATAGGGAGAGTTGGCTGTGATAGTTAGATTTTATATAAAATATAAAATCACAATCAAAAGACAACTTTCAAAAAAATTTTTTTATTGATTTTATATAAATTAATTATGAAAGCTAGTTGCAAAATTTACACGTGTTTTATCCACTTCAAAATTGAAAATTTTACATGTGTTTTTATTTGTAGATCATCACTTAAATTCGCACGGGGATCTACGTTGCGAGTATTTATACAGGATATTGCTGTATTGTCGACGTATTCTCTTTAACCCTCGTGATACTTCTGT